TTTTTCTATCAAAATATGTTCATGACAAGAGCCCCTGTCAACATGGCCATCCCCCGCCGATGTGGTTTGCTCATTGGAAGAATGTATATGTAGTAGAGCAGAATAATTCCATTTTTTAAGAGGTTTTTTGGTAATGAAACTGATGGCTATAGTGATTACAGATTTGAAACCTATGTGAAATACTAATGGCTGAAAAATAACAAAGGGCAATAACTGAAAAATATGCAGGGTAGGTTATCATTCTTGTGTGCTGCATCCCTCCTCAGTAAAATCTATCACACTATGAAGTTTCAAGTTGATACCTCAAATACTTTTTGAGAAAAAAATTGAATTGAAAAAATTAAAGTATGAAATATAACAAAGGGCAATACTCAAAAAGTATGAAAGGTAGAGTTATCATTCTTGTGCACTGCACACCTCCTGAGTGAAGATCTATGCACCTATTGAAGTTTCATAATGATATCTCAAAAGGCTTTTTGAGTTATGTCTGGAAAAATTAATTTTGAAAAATTAAAAAAGGGCAATAACTCAAAAATAATGCAGGGTAGAGTTATCTCATTCTTGTGCAATGCACTCCTCCTCATGAAATCCATCCACTACTATGAATTTTCAAGTTGATACCTCAAATACTTTTTGAGATAAGCTCGGACAAAATAGCATGAAAAAAAACAAAGGGCAATAACTCAAAAAATTGTATAGGGAAGAGTTATCATTCTTGCGCACAACATTCCTCCTCAATAAGATCTATCCAACTATGAACATTTCATGTTGATATCTCAAAAACTTTTTGAGTTTTGCTCCACTCAGGTGAAAAATTAAGTATGAAAAATAACAAAGGGCAATAACTCAAAAATTATGAAAGGTAGAGTTATCATTCTTGTGCACTGCACACCTCCTGAGTGAGATATATGCACCTATGAAGTTTCATGTTGATATCTCATAGGCTTTTGGAGTTATGCTCTGGACAAAAAATCAATTTTGAAAAAATAACAAAGGGAATAACTCAAAAATTATGCAGGGTAGAGTTTCATTCTTTGCACTGCACTCCTCCTCAATGAGGTCTATCCACCTATGAAGTTTCAAGTTGATAACTCAAATACTTTTAGAGATATGCTCCGGACAAAAATGTCGGACGGAAGGACGGACGGATGGAAGGACGGACGGACGGAGACTATTTCTATATCCCCCGCCGCCTTTTCGGCGGGGGATAAAAAGGTTTTAGCACAAATCTGGATAACTAGCCAGTAATTATCCATTTCTCCACAAGTGACCAACTACTAATCCCACACATTTGCTGAATTATCAGCGAGAGCCAAATGACTAATATTAGACTCAAAGCAGCATGCCTCCAGATTCATGCCAATTTTTACGAGTGTTTTGAAAATTTAATTAAAAGTAAAATATTGCACAGTGAACAAAGAAAGCAATTTATCCATTTGCAAACACTTACAATCCATGCAAAATACCAAAAAGAGATCAAAATATGCAAAAGAAGTCCTTAGTAAGTACCACAGTCAAAATATGGTGATATATATAATGATATTCTGCAAAAACAGTCATTTATTGCACATAACCTGTAAATTGCTACTTAAATTTTGAATCTTTTTACTTTTCTTCAAATCTTTGTACATTTTTCACTAGTTTGATTTTCTTGAAATATTTTGGCTCATCTGGAGGGACACAGCTTGATTGTCATCTGACAACATTGAAAATAGTGCCTAAGCATATTATTTTCGGAGAAAAAGTTTATTCAGTAATGATATACAATTATAACTAGACATTACCATTCCTGATCCTAGGATTAGAGCATGACTGGTTTGTTTTGTATACATCAGCTGGACAATGATGATTTAACAAAGCTCGGTAAGGGCAGTTCCTGGATAAATAATACACAAATTATATATATATTTATTGTACAACATAATCTGAAAGTTGTAAAGAGTTGCAAACTTAAATATCTAAATGATCTGTTGTACGAGTGTGTTTTCAAGGTGAAAAATATGAAAAAGGTCAAAAACAACTACACATCAAAGGTGGCTTCATTGTGAAATCAACAATTTATCCTGCCAACATTTTTAAGTGAATTATGGTAAAAAGATCACATACATGTACTTAGGTAGCATCTGTAAGTTTTTGCTTTCCATTTGTAGCATCTTAAGTTTTTGCCTTAGCAATAGCATTGAAACTTGATTTACATCTTCAGTTGATTTTTTCTTCTGTGGCAAGGCTTATTTATAATGATCATGTACAACAATCTTTTTTACAATACTGGCTTCACCATATTATTGCACCCCTATTTAACCAACAATTATCAATTTTACAAACAAATAAATTCATAAAGAATAAACATTATACCTGTGATTTTCAATAAACTGTTTTAAGGAAGGTGCAACAGCAGAAACAATGGAAATGTCAACTGTCCTAGTGTTATGTGATACCATATCGTTGCTCCCAGGCTTTAATTCAGCTTCCCTGCTACATCGATCATGGTCTTGTGCATTCTTTTCTTGTAGAACCTTAAATAAGACCAGAAATAAGTGTAACATCTAAAGTAACAAGAGACTTTGTAGAAATTTTTATCCCCTGCCAAATACTGGTTATTACTAGCAACAACAGGTGCAAAATAGATCACAGAAAAGTTCTTACTTTAATTATTCAACATGTTGGTTTTTCTCACAAGTGTTGTTTTGTCCAACTATAATATCAAATAAAAGTTAAACAAAGTCAATAACTTGACCTTAATGTCATTTGAAGGGCACATGTTATTTTTACCATAAATGTGGTCTTGTCCAAGCATAAATAAAATCTGCCAATTACAAAGTTACAGCTTATCTTAGCAAAATTCATTAATTTGACTATCAAGGTCAAGGTCGTTTAAAAGCATACATGTGACAAATGAAATGGGCCAAATCTGGATTTTCAGCTGGATTTTGAGGCTCAAAACTGGATTTTTTTATCGACTTGAATTTCAATGCGTGTTTGGCACATTTGGTTCAAAGAATCTTTATTACCCTCAAAATCATTAAATGGTTATACTTTTTATGATTTTTTTGTGGATCAATATTAATTTATTTCACCAAAAAATAAACAAATTGATAAATAAATAAGTGTAGTCATACAGGCTATATCAAAACAGTCACATTTTCACATTTCATTATTTTCAGTTTGAAGAATTATATCTGTCTTTTCAGTCATTCAATAATTGTCTACAAGCTATTTGAAAACGTACAACAACTATTCATGAACATAAGACTGTGACAGTTAAATAACATAACATAAGTAGAAGACTCGAAATAAATGCAAGAATCGTTCCGTTAATTAAATCCACATTTTTGCCTCGATGATAGTGTAATTGCTAAACAAAACAATAAAATTACCCACTCACTAAAAATAGGTTAATTAGACATCTCGAACAGGTTTTTGAATGATCCACTTTAAATGATTCTGCTCACCTTTTATCTTTATCAGTGCGGCACTAATCAAAGAAAATCAAAAGGTTGAGCCGAATTCATACATGTAAATTTACAGGGTAGTTTTGATGACGTAGCGTGTAATACCTACAGTACTGCCAAATTACAAAAGAGGTCAATGGATTGACACACAACACGTGATAAGTTAAACATGTGAGAATAACTTTGGGTATAGGAATTGTTTATTACGTCACCTTGCTGTAAATTAGTGACTCAACATTTAATCTGCTATAATTTAGGATATTGACAGATAACAATCAATGCCCGGAGGCACGGTTTACATTTTAGATACAGGTGCTGTGTTTGATTTTTTTTATGTTGATTTTTTTTTAAATATCGGGAATTCAAGCTGTAATATCGGGAATCGGGATCAGTGTTGAAATATCGGGATTTTTTTAAATCCCGCCGGGATGTCACATGTATGTAAAAGTCAAGATCAGATTCAGATTGAACTCTGAAGTTGATGTCCCAAGTGTTGCTTTGTACATCACTTAAAAGACCGTTAAGGCTTTGAATGACAGGGGACAATTCATATTCATAACCATGAATGAAAAGCAGGTATTAGGTCAAAATGTAGGTCAACTGGCATCAAAGTTCAAATCTGCATATACATACAGACCCCATCACAGTATGCTCCCGCTTTTTAAGTGGGGGCAGACAAAAACTGATATCAGAGGCATGGATGGATGATGGACAATTATCAAGTAGAATAATAGTTCACCCTGAACAGTTTTGTTAAAACACTATACTTTAACTTACTGTACATGAATCTTGTCCACAAAGTAACACACAGCTATGTATATTGAGAGAACTGTTAATGCATGTGTCATTAGTCGTCCTGTATAGTGTTCCACCATCTATATTACTTCTCTGAATCTGTTCTTCTGTTGCCATTCTTTCTATACGACATCGTTCACAATTGCCTGCTTTAGGTAAGGCAGACTTTCTCATGCTTTTTGCCATGGAACTATTGTACTGTGAAGTTATATCAGATTCCACTATAACGCCCTCATTACAATGGTCAAAGTTGCAAGTGCCTTCGTTTTGTTCTAAAGTCTTCCATTCACTAACGATAGAACATTTAGGGTCTCTACTACTCAAAATCTCATATTTTCTTCTTTTCAGAAGCGAAACATTCATACTTTTATCATTACTGAATTTCTCTTTTATTTTTTCATTAAGTAAACCCTTATTCTGTGTGTTTTCATAACCTGGTTCACAAATATGAGAAAGTTCAGTTCTAGAAATACAAGAACAGTTTTTAACAGTTTTTTCATTGAAAGATTGTTTAGTATGCTTTTGATTTTTACATAGATTACAACATTGACAATTCTCAACATGTTCTAACCTGATCATGAGCTCTTTGTCACATGGTACACAAGGGACAACATTACTATAATCTGGCATTCCTTTCTTATGTGAACTGTTTTTCAAGCCGCTTTCTGTAGGATGCGATGGCTCTTTACATTTCTCAGAGTTTTCACTTTCCATTTCTCTAAGATCTGGAAAAATAACTTGAGGTTCATTTTTCGTGAGAACCTTTGTGTCGCAGAATATTTCCTTACAAAGTAACATGGCATCTTCAGAAGTTGAGTCAAGTCTTGATAATAATACTGAAACAAAGAAAACACTAATATTTATGATTACTTTTTCTCACAAGTGTAATACAGGGAGGAGAGGCATGAACCCAAACACACTCCAGAGAGCAGAATTGTACAATATTCTCTATAGTTACAAGTGGGACAAAGTTTTTAGGAAAACATGCTACTGTGATCTTCACCTTTGATCTACTGACCTTAAATCAAGAGGGGTCCCATCTACTAGTCATGACTAACCTTAACACCAAATCTAAGGACTGAAGACCAATGGTGTTAACAATAAGATTTTTTAACAGTTTAATATAGACATAAAAGGAAACCTATGGCCTTCCCCCTTCAGAGCAAATTTAGACCGCAGTACAAAAATTTGAACTATCTTGGTAGAAGTTGACAAGTCAGTTTTCATGCCTAGTATAAATGCTTTAGCCTTAGGACTTTCAGAGAAGAACAATTTTTTAAAGTTTTACTAGAAAAAAATATTACAGAAACCAATGTTCCCCAGGCAGGGCTATTTTGACAGCAGGGCCATAATTTCAGCAACCTTGGTGGAAGTACACAAGATGATGGTTAGAGCCAAATACATAATGTACCTAAGCTCTAGCCCCTTGACTTTCATAGAAGATTTTTTCTATCACTAAACATAATGGAAAACCCATTAACTTTTGATAATTTATATATTTCTGCTGAGTTTCATTACAATACAATTAACCATCTGAAGTGGTTTCCTTTGAAAAATGCTTTTTTTCACTAACAAAAGGCCATTACTAAAATATCCTTTAATGGCATTTGATGAAATAAGGTGACACTCACTTTCCTATTCACACAATGATTCCTGCCAAGTTCAAGAAAACTGGACACACTGATTCCAAGATAGAGATCCTAGACTAATGGACAATGCTATATCAATTATCAATATTGTGATGAACAAAAAGTAGAAACCTGAAAAATATCAGCCTATAAGGACACATCTATGTATTGATTTTCAAATCTCCAAAGCTATATTTTTACTTAAACATTTTGGAATATCATATCAGTATTACCTTAGCATAATACTAATGAATTCTTAGCACAACAGTAATTAACCTGATGAGAATAGAGAAATTCAAAATTACAGATTTTATGTCAATAACATGCCCATAAAACCTATCATGTACATATTAATTTCAACTTTATAAAGCTTGATATCATAAATATTAGTATAAATAGCATCAGCTTTCTATAAAGTTTAGTTAAGATAATTCTTTATTTTTTAGTAAATATGTACCAGATTTTGACAGTTTTTCCCTGGGATTTCTGCTAAATAGAGCACTGTTCCTCGCTAGAGGTAAGTGGAACCTACAATGAGAAATAATGATAAAGTGATAATACTGATCAACATTTTGGAAAAACATTATAATCATAAAATAAAATTTTATGCTAGAACCCTAACACACTGTACACTTTAACTTATATGGCATATATGAATCAATATCTTCAAAAAATTATTTATATAGAGAGAGGATGGAACCAGATTTACTTTAGAAACTGGCGGACATTATCCATTGCCTGTAGCTAGTTTTTGAAAGGAATTATAATTTGTTTATATTACATACACATTACAGTTCACAAAAGCCAAATTTTTACTTTGTTGCCATAAAAACAAGCATTCTGATTAAAGAAAAATAAATCTCCATAATAATATTGCTATTAATTCACAAACCAAGCTTCATCCAATTTTCTTCATATTTATTTTTAGTAAACATATGATCAAGATTTCAAAGCAACCACCAGACAAATCTATGACGCTGGCACCTAAAATTCCATTTTCAACATAAGTTATACTTACTCGAAAGGACAAAATGAGCAGCCAAGATTTTTGTCCTGTGAACTTTTCAAATTTTTCTTTTCCTTTCTTCTTCTTCTGTGTTTAATCTTTGACAAAAGGTTGCAACTTCTATCTTTCACATTTATACTGGTGTTTGGTAGCTTTCTTGCAGTGTTAAATTCTTCCGTGGTCTCTACAATGCAATTTTCAATATTTCCCGCAATATCTACATTCAATGTGTGATTTCCATTATCTAAACACAAACGTTTACTTTTATTATCTACACTATTTTCGGTTTCAGTTTCAGAATATATTTCACTAAATTTTCTTTTTCTTGAGTTTCTTGCCATTCTATCAATAATGTTGCCAGTAAAGGCACCTTTACTACCACAGTCCAGATTTGCTAGGTTATCAAAACTGCCTGCAGAATGACAATCTATAGCTTGATTGTTTCTTACTTTATAAAGTTCACTGTCTCTTTTCAAATCTAGAAATCTTTGTTCACTAATTTCTTCATATTTTCTTTTCTTTTTTCTTTTAAATTTACATGTATCTTCAGTAGATCTACTAATTGTTGAACGATAAATTAACAGATTTTTATTTGCCCCTCTCTCAGTTTTATTGGAAACTATATGTTCTGTTTCACTTTCTGGTTTATTTCTTAAACCTCCAATATGAGTACTGTTTAAAATATCTTCAGCCTTATTGGTGACCTCTGTTATCTTATCAAAACTTGTATGATCAGTGTGAAGGTCAATCTGCGTTTCATTTTGTTCCGTCTCTATGACATTAGGTGAATCGATTTTATTACTTCTTAAATTTCCATCAACTTTAGTTTTTCTTGTACGAGGTATATCGACTTCTTTAAAAACTTTATCACAAATTTTTTTCTTCTCATTCTTGTCATGTTTAAGAAGGTCAAATAAAGGTAATCCTAAAAATAAAAGCATAAATTTAATAGTTACTGTGCAAGTGGTGTCAAGGCTAGCAAAAATGCTAACTGCTTAAAATACGACCTTATATCCATGTTAACCATTTAACCGACCATTCCAAAGAACTTTGTTTCTTTATGACAAGGCAATGACATTTACCATAGTTAATGTTTTGTTGTACTCAACAAGTTTACAAAAGATATCCAATAACAAGGTTGCTAATATATTTTCCATTAGGGCCACTATCAGATAGCATGCAATTTAGGAAAAGAAAAACACAGGTCAGTACAACTAAACAATATTATATTGTGTCATAGTATTTAAAACCAGAACAAAAACAAACAAGAGGGCCATGATGGCCCTGAAGTCGCTCACCTGTACATAGGCCCCCGGAGCAGGGCCAGTTTAAAGCCCGGGGCTCTAATTTGAACAAACTTTGTAGACAACCATTAGGAGATGTTTCATGCTAAACATCTAAGGTCTAGCTCATTGGGATTTTTAAAAGAAGATTTTTTTAAGTTTTTTCTTTACACATATAGTTAACAAGAGGGCCATGATGGCCCTGAGGTTGCTCACCTGTATATAGGCCCCCCTAACCCCCACCCCCAACGTTGCAGGGCCAATTTAACCCAAGGGCTTTTATTTGCACAAACTTGGTAGACACCCATAAGATCAGGGTTCCCACAAAGAAGAGAAATCAAAATTCCCTGACTTTTCCATGACTTTTCCCTGACCAAGACCATTTTTCCCTGACCAATAACAGCGTCAAGTTTTCACAATCTTTAGAGCATTAAACTTTTTTTTATATGCTGGCCTCCTCTTCCCTACATTTAAGCCAACCTCTTTCCTCCCTTTCTTTATTTTAAATTATTTCAGATACAGAATACATGTATATGAATATAAGCAACAATTGTCATTAGCTACTTGTGTAGTTTACTTTCAATTAGCATGAGCACATTTATCCAAAATGAAAAGTATTTGATAACATATGTCATGCTCAAATATGTTTCATTCTTGAGCATATAAAGCAGTGTAATCATAGCTAGTTTTGTATAATTTCTGCTATATACTAGTATTATTAGCTTTGGCTACATTTTGCTTTTCATGAAGCCACTTCATTACCTGTCTTATTGTTTCTTGTTAAAACAAAAGTTTTTAATTGATTACTAACATTTATTCAAGTAAAATGCATGCCTATTTTAGTCAATCCTCCATTGATTACACTGATTTGTATAGGGAGTGGCCAAAATATAAAAGGTTGCATTTGTGAAAAAATGCCAAGTCACTGCATCAGTATAACAGAAGTAGATTTTTTTTGTTCTATACAATAGAACATTACCATAATGCAGTTGTATCTAGTGAATTTCAGGGTCAAGGTTATATTTCAGCATGACATATGAAAATTAATGTGCAGATGTGTCTAATGTTAAGATACAAAGGCCACATTATAGTGCAATAATTGATAGGTGTTTACTGTATTGCATTGCTGTTTTAAACTTTGAAATACAGTTACATTTTTATCTTAAATGCTATCTTTTCAAGTAAGCATTACTTATTTCTTAGATACGTAAATTTAAAAGAATATTTTTTTTTAATATAAAAAATTATGTAAATAATGAAAATCAATGAATCAGCCAATTTTGACCCCTGGGCTATAATTTCAACAATCTTGATAATGGTCTATTACACAAATTTTCATTCTCGATATCTAACCTATAGCTTTTGTCAAGTCAGAGAAGAAATTTTGTTAATTTTTACTAAATGTTAAAAAAAAAGGAAAACCTATGATCCCTTGGGTTGGCCAGTTTTGACAATATGGGCAAAATTTGAGCAACTTTGGTAGAGGACCTATAAATAATATTATATACCAAATATCAAAGCTCTAAGCCTTGTACCTAAGCAGACAGTAAGATACTTTAAGTTTTTATTATATTTGCAAAATAAAAATCAAGGACCCCAAGCATGGGTCAATTGTTAGAGGTCCATTAGATGATGCCTTTTGCAAAATATCTAAGCTCTAGGCCTTGTGGGTCTTTAGAAGTAGGTTTTTTTTCTTATAATTTCTTTTGGTTGCCATGACAACCAGATTCTTGCACGGAATCAAAATATTTTAACAAATTTGGAAGCCCTTTACCAAAGGAACAATCCTGCCAAGTTTGGATAACTTTGGACTAACAGATTTTTAGAAGATTTTTTTATTCATTATTAAGATAAAGTTTCTTGAAATGACAAAAGATTTCAAAAAGTTTCAGACATAAGCATATTTTTTGGAGCAAGATATTCACAAGAATAAAAAAATGCTCATATTGATAAATCAATATAAAGATACCTAAAATAATCAAAGAAACTGCCTTAGCCTTGATTGATTTTGCTTCCTACAGTTTGACCAACATTCTTCTCTTACAAAATTCCCTGACTTTTCCCTGACTTTTGCTTATTTTTCATATTTCCCTGACCAATTTCAAAATTCCCTGACTTTTCCCTGACCTTGAAAAAAAATCATTTTTCCCTGACTTTTCCCTGACCGTGGGAACCCTGAAGATGTTTCATGCTAAACATCTAAGCTCTAGCTCATTGGGCTTTTTAAAAGAAGATTTTTTTTAAGTTTTTACTATACACATATAGTTAAAAACAATGACACCCCTGGGGCCGGGCCAGTTTTGACACCTGGGCTTTTATTTGAACAAACTTTGTAGACACTCACTAAAAGATGTTTCATGCTTAATATCTTAACTCTAGCTCTTTGGGTTTTTTAAAAGAAGATTTTTTAAGTTTTGCTATACACATATAAGGAAAATCAATGACCCCCGGGGCGGTGCCAATTTTGACCCCAGGGCTTTTATTTGAACAAACTTGGTAGACACCTATTAGAACATGTTTGTTGCTAAATATCTTAACCATAGCTCTTTGAGTTCTTTAAAAGAAGATTTTTTAAGTTTTTACTATATGCATATAAGGAAAATCAATGACCCCCCCCCAGGGCGGGGCCAATTTTGACCCCAGGGCTTTTATTTGAACAAACTTGGTAGACACTTATTAGAACATGTTTCATGCTAAATATCTTAGCTCTAACTCTTTTGGTTCTTTAAAAGAAGATTTTTTAAGTTTTTACTATATGCATATAGGGAAAATCAATGACCCCCCGGGGCGGGGCCAATTTTGACCCCAGGGCTTTTATTTGAACAAACTTGGTAGACACCCATTAGAACATGTTTCATGCTAAATATCTTAGCTCTAGCTCTTTGAGTTCTTTTAAAAGAAGATTTTTTAAAGTTTTTACCTATATGCATATAGGGAAAATCAATGACCCCCGGGGCGGGGCCAATTTTGACCCCTGGGGCTTTTATTTGAACAAACTTGGTAGACACTTATTAGAACATGTTTCATGCTAAATATCTTAGCTCTAACTCTTTTGGTTCTTTAAAAGAAATTTTTTAAGTTTTTTACTATATGCATATAGGGAAAATCAATGACCCCCTGGGGCGGGGCCAATTTTGACCCCAGGGCTTTTATTTGAACAAACTTGGTTAGACACCTATTAGAACATGTTTGATGCTCAATATCTTAGCCATAGCTCTTTTGAGTTCTTTAAAAGAGAGATTTTTTAAGTTTTTACTATATGCATATAGGGAAAATCAATGACCCCCGGGGCGGGGCCAATTTTTGACCCCCAGGGCTTTTATTTGAACAAAACTTGGTAGACACCCATTAGAAAACATGTTTCATGCTAAATATCTTAGCTCTAGCTTTTTTTTGGGTTCTTTAAAAGAAGATTTTTTAAGTTTTTACTATATGCATATAGGGAAAATCAATGACCCCCCGGGGCGGGGCCAATTTTGACCCCAGGGCTTTTATTTGAACAAACTTGGTAGACACTCACTAGAAGATGTTTCATACCATATATCTAAGCTCTAGCTCTTATGGTTTTTTAAAAGAAGATATTTAAAGTTTTTTCTTTCGGTTGCCATGGCAACCAGAGTTCTGCATGGAATTAAATTCTTTAAACAATTTTTAAAGGTGACCACCAAAGGAACATTCCTGTGAAGTTTGGATGAAATTGGCCTAGTGGTTTATGAGGAGATGTCATTTAAAGTAAAAGTTTACGGAAGGACGACGGACGGACGCCGGACGGACGGATGGACGGACGGACGCCGGACGAAAAGCGATCACAAGAGCTCACCCTGTCACTTTGTGACAGGTGAGCTAAAAACAATGACACACCTGGGGCAGGGCCAGTTTTGACCCCAGGGCTTTTATTTGAACAATCTTTGTAGACACTTACTAGAAAATGTTTCATGCTTAGTATCTAAACTCTAGCTATTCGGGTTTTTTAAAAGAAGATTTTCAAGTTTTTGCTATACTCGTATAAGGAAAATCAATGTTCCCCGGGGCGGGGCCAATATTGACTCCAGGGCTTTTATTTGAACAAACTTTGAAGACACTTACTAGAAGATGCTTCGTGCTTAATATCTAAACTCTTGCTATTTGAGTTTTTTCAAAGAAGATTTTTCAATTTTTGCTATAGTTTTACACATATAGGGAAAATGAATGACCTCCGGGGTGGGGCCAATTTTGACCCCCAGGGCTTTTATTTGAACAAACTTTGTAGACAATCACTAGAAGATGTTTCATGCTTAATATCTAAACTCTAGCTATTTGGTTTTTTCCGAAGAAGATTTTTTAAGTTTTTCCTATACACATATAAGGAAATTTGGAAAATCAATGACCCCCAGGGCCGGGCAAATTTTGACCCCAGGGCTTTTATTTGAACAAACTTGGTAGACACCCATTAGAAGATGTTTCATGCTAAATATCTTAGCCCTAGCTATTTGGGTTCTTTAAAAGAAGATTTTTAAAGTTTTTACTATATGTATAAATGGAAAATCAATGACCCCCTGGGGTGGGCCAACTTTGACCCCAGGGCTTTTATTTGAACAATCTTGGTAGACATCTATTAGAAGATGTTTCATGCTAAATATCTTAGCTCTAGCTCTTTTGGTTCTTTAAAAGAAGATTTTTTTAAGTTTTTACTATATGCATATATAGGGAAAATCAATGACCCCCTGGGGTGGGGCCAATTTTGACCCCAGGGCTTTTATTTGAACAAACTTGGTAGACACCCATTAGAAGACGTTTCATGCTAAATATCTTAGCTCTAGCTCTTTGGGTTCTTTAAAAGAAGATTTTTTAAGTTTTTACTATATGCATATAGGGAACCTAGGGCGGGGCCAATTTTGACCCCAGGGCTTTTATTTGAACAAACTTGGTAGACACTCACCAGAAGATGTTTCATGCCAAAAATCTTAGCTCTAGCTCTTTGGGTTTTTTAGAAGTTTTTTCTTTTGGTTGCCATGGCAACCAGAGTTCTGCATTGAATTAAATTCTTTGAACAATTTTCAAAGGTGACCACCAAAGGAACATTCCTGTGAAGTTTGGATGAAATTGGCTTACTGGTTTATGAGGAGATGTCATTTAAAGTAAAATTACGGACGACGGACGGACGACGGAGGCCAGACGAAAAGCGATCACAAAAGCTCACCCTGTCACTTTGTGACAGGTGAGCTAAAAACCAGTGACAGGAAAAAATCAACCAATGCATCGCCAAAAGATCAATGATGGCAGGACAAAAGAACAATAACAGAATTTATTGGCATGTTAAATTGTGTTAATATTCAACAAAAATCTTTTTATAACTTACATCAGAAAAATGGTACAAGTAAAAATTCACTGTTTGAAAATATGCTGCAAACAAAACTGAATTAACTGCCTTCCAGAGCTTTCCCAATGTCATGCTTTTTATTTTAAACTTGTGTATAGAAATTGCTAAGGGCACTAAATCCTATACAATACCTTTCAGAGTTATAGTTCCTCAGTGAGATCTATCAATTAATGAAGTTTCAAGCTGATATCTCCATTTCAAAGTAATGCCCAAAAACAAAACTTATGAAAACTTAAAAAGGGGAAGAATTCAATAATTTAGCAAAATGTAATGATTCTCGAGCACTGCACATCTTTTCAATGGAATGATGTATAGTACTCCCCGCGGGTACCGCGTCCTTGCCCATTCCGATGTAATCAGAACATTTGTTTCTTTACACATTGAATGCCACCAAATACTGTTTCCACCAACCAAATAGTGTTTCCACCATTAAAGTGAAAGTGGAAGTGCTGCTTTTTGTGAATTTGGATAGAAATTGTTAGAATTTTTTTCATTTTGAATAAATTCTGTCATTGATGGGAAATTCCAAAGCTTCTGATGTGTGTTAAAAATGCTTCTTTATTTTACCCCATATATAAAGGTTAAACTTATAATTTCATGTTCCGACAAGTGAAGGTCGTCTGCTGAAACTGTAGTGACATCATATTCTGTTACAAAAAATTATACTGAATTTAAAAAGGGCCATCAATTAACATACAACGGTACCATAGTGCTCTCTGTTTAAGCTCCCATTCAAAACATGGCTGACTGACCATAGATGTTTCTAATTTAAATCATGGAGTTATTTTATCAATGACATGTGTATTTTAATGTCAAGATGCGCCAACAAAATACAACTCAATAAAATAGTAAATACAAGTTCTTTTTATTTGTACAATTTGCTGGAAATAATAAGAACAGTGGTACCATAGGGGACCATCTTAATCACATTTGAAGTTTTAGGTTTCTTACTGAAACGGTTCCAATTTAATGGACATTTGACAAACATAAAGACAGACAAATGGATGGACAAACATTCAAATGGACAATGCCAAACCAATATCTATTTGTTTTTGGCAAGAGATAAGTGAAACAAAAGCTTTATGCAAAGATTTAAATGCCTGTTATACCTGTTAATTGGACAAAACAATCTGTATCTATATATAAGTAGAGTGATGTATGTTCCAACAAGTATGTCATGACTGTATCACCTATTCTGAAATGTAAAACAAAATGACCATGGTATTGCCTAAGTTGTCAAGATGGTTTGCAGAGTATTCTCAAGAGAAAACCCTACCTAAGTTTCCTTCATAATTTCTTTTTTCCACACAATTAAAAGACACAATGTTCAGGGCAGACAAAAACTGCCGATGTAATTGGATTACCAGGTGCATAACAATAGTCATTAAAAAATGGTCATTATGTCAATAGAACATCCAACCATTCAACCAATGAACTGATGCTTAATATGCAAAGTAATAAATATATCACCACATTTTTCCTTAAAGTTATAATATTGGTCATTTTAGAAATTTTAACATTCCATAACTGTCATTTCAAGTAACTCTTCCTTAACAAAATATTTCACTTTCCAAACACTTTTAGATCAATTAGTTTGAAACCTGGTCCCTAGGAATGTCAGTTAGCTGTCTTATATTTTTTCAATTGTTGCAAAGGTAACAAGTAAACATGTTGGAATGATACCTCCTGCTTTATAATACAAAACACTTGATCGAAACTTCTAACTAGCCCTTAACCTGATAAATTTCTTAAATAGACCTGTCTTGAACTTCCTGTGTTGGAACTGTCCATTATCAATTTTGAGGATATCATGAAATAATAATGATGTTGGTAGCCAACAGTATTGAGCCTGATTAGAATGCAAAAGTTGTTTGTGGTAAAAAATGGCAATAGAGCCTAGTAAATTGGGCTGAATAAAGGTTTAACACCATAAAGATAATCTACTCACTTTGACAGTAAAATTTCCCATGCAGGGTAGAACAGCTTATTAACGCAGGAGTTAGGATATCTGTTCTCAACATTGACACCACATCTATGTGAAAATGGGTCTGGAGACATCTGTTTCATTAATATACAAAATTACCTTTTATAAAATCAAATAACTCAACAATCATATAATTGTCAAAGTCAATTTGAGTTTGATCTTCTTGAAAGAAGTGGTGGTGGTGTTGGTTGTTTCCCCTTAAGATCACGGAAGTGATCTACATTGAATTCACCAGAGCACAGTTCAGCCACCGCATTGTTCCTGGGCTGGCTGTCAAGCAGTTTACCGGTACTAGTTGCCTTCATTTTCGCAAGGAACGGAAACTTCTGTACATGCCAGAGCAGAGGTAAAGTGCAATTGACAGTAAAAAGAATTTCATGATCAATCAAAATGAAAGTGTACTTTGACCTACAATGTTTGGGAATCGAACACAGGTCACACTATTCACAGTCCAATGCACTACCTATTGAGCTAACTGAAAGGTACTTTCTAAAAGGTTTTTGTATATCTTGAAATAAATACAATTCATCCATCAATGATAATGGCCTTTTTTAGCAAAATTCAATGTCAGATTTGACCTACAAGGTCATACATCAATTGTTGAATATGATAGGGTTTTTTTTAAGTGCTGTTTGTTGAAGAATTAATCAAATCTGTCCATTGATAAAATATTGGCAAATTTTTGCAAAATTCAATTTTACCGATAATGTCAAGGTCATATCAACGATCAAGGTCAAGTTGAATTTTTTTCTAAAGGGTTTAATCAGCAACTTATCATCTCATCTGTGGTAGCAAACCGTTGTTCTACCTGCAACTGTTTAATATACATGTATGTGAACCATATGAAGTAAATGCCTTCAGCAGTAAGGAAAACTATGTAAGAAACATTTCACTTCACAATTTTTTTTAATAAAAAATCTAGATGCAGACATCGCCAACAGGCCAAGCACTCTTTTGACCTTGTACAGTCAAAGAAAATACAGTACACTTTGAAAAATATAAACAACATACCAAACAAAATCCATATGAGAGGAGATTCTTACAAGGTCCACTCTTGCACAAAGCTCTCTAAATATAGAAGACTAAACATGTATATTGAAAACAAGGTGGATAAAAGGATGACTCTCGGTCAAACATAAATACAAATTGTTCAAGCCATTGTAAATGAAGAAATGATGTTTAGGTATCCTTCATCGAATTTTCAAAGATCAAGCAACTTTTAAAGGCAACATGTAAAACAAGTATTCTGTATAAACTTAAAGAGATAATAATTAATCTGATTTCTGTTTTAATTTGCATTTACACAAAAATGTATATACATGTAAGTGGTAAGAATTTGCTTAATGTGTCAATATGGTCATTAAACACATTTATAAGTATTTTACTAAAGCAATAAAGCCACTAAAAGGTTAACACAAAAAGAGTATAAAATTTCTGTTATTTAGAAATATGTTGAACAACACAACTAACTCACCTCAATAGCTGTTAAAACCAGTTCTCTCTGCTCATAACAAGATGTTGGCGAGGCAGACATCGGATATTTCTCAGTATTGTCACACACATATACAGAACATAGCAACTGCTTGAAACTGTAAAATAAAAGAAAATCATGATGGGCATAGTTGAAATTTTTCCCAATTTGTATAATAACCTTGTCTAATCTTATCTCACCAGACCTGCCCATTTTAACCTACCCTACTCTACATGCTGATAAATTTATATTACTTTTTATCAAGCAATCAGACTTTTTCAAATTACATATTCACATAATAGCTACAAATGTATTTATAAATTTATAGTTCAGGACTTCAGGAAGTACAGCTGAGAACCAAGGGATTATGTATGTCCAATAGAACAGCTGATTAACTGTTAAGCCGCCGTAAGCATATAGTGTCTAATTCATTAATTTATTTCTATTACAAAAACATGCAAAGATATATGTTTATATAATCAACTTATGAACATTTAAATACTAAAAGACTGCCAATATCTTCAGCTAGTTGGCCTAATTTTCTTTTATTTACATGTTTACCAGGTACAAAATATACCTTTCTCAACAATCATAAAAACATATAATAAAGACAAAGTAGCAGGGTGTGTGCCTAGTTGGACAAAAATAAACAGCAGTCTTAATCTTCAGTTACATATATCATCACAGTGTTTGTTGTGAATCCGTCCTATTAAATGTCCAATAACTTTTTCATCACATGTTTCATTCATTCCCATATTGGTCATATACTAACCACTAACCGCAATTACGGGCTTCTATCCGACTTCCTACTTCTACTTCACACTACGCATGACACTATTTTGAACAGGGTTCCCACTCTTAGATATTTTGAAAATTTAAGGACTTTTCCAGGACTTATCAAGGACCTTTTTTTAATTTTAAAGGACTTTTTAGAAGATTGAATTTCAAGCTATTCAATTTTTTTGTCCTATGAATATTTTCATGGTAATGTTTAAAACAACATTTAATAACAATATAATACATGTAGTTCATGACATAAATCTAACTCTATCTAAGAAATACATTCAGTGTCTATAAGTAATGAAATGTACTTTGTGACAGCAACTGTTGCAGGTTGTCTGCAATTTTCATGTAATTTTGGTGTTTTTAATGCTTCCAAGGGATCACTTTTTTTACAAGATATTCATAGTACTTTAATAAGTAACCTCACATTTGACCTCAGTCCACTTAGGTGCATAGAATGGCAAAAGCATGTCACACTGAAGGGTATATGAAAACTGCCTGCAGGTGTTTCTACATTAAAAATTTCACAACTTTCATGTTTAAATGTTGTACTCTGCTTAAGCCAGTGCTACGGGTTCTACAAAATATGGCAGCAGCACAAAATACCCAAACACACACAATTATAGCAATATTCATTTTGGTTTGTATACAATATAGATTTTAATGAGAAAATGAATTGATATTTTCAAAATAATGTGACTTAGCCAACTATTACTTTCATTCATTCCGTTGAAATTGGCAGTTCAGATGTTGTAAGAAAAAAGTGACATTTGCTTTTCTAACTGTTAGGTTCATTAATGAATAGACAAATGTACTTGCAAGATATGAGATTTGTTGTCTACATTTAAATTTGAAGGGTATAATTTTGTTGTAATTTCATACAAGTTCATTCGAATTATTTTTTTTATTTAATAGCTTTCATGGAGTATACTGTATTTGGGTATATTTTGGTTCAAAAATGAAAATTTGGGTATGTTCGATTACATCTTAGTGAAAGTGTATATTGTATTCATGATTAAAACAGCACTTTTTTTAGTATAACACATTCATTTTTAGTATTTTTAGTATATTGTGGCTAATATTTGGGTATTTCTTGCTACCCGGTGTGGCCAACTGGCTGTGCTCTGCCTTGACAATAGTTCATGTATGTATTATTATTGTTTATTTTATATTGATTTACCTTTGGCTTTTAGCATGGTTGTGAGCAATAAGGTTAAACAAATTGCCCAAGGAAACAACCAGACCTGTGAGCTCTCATGTTTCTTAGCACGGGCCAATCAAGCAAACTTGTGGTCGATTTGTGACTGTCTTATAACATTTTCCAAACAAAACTGCCATAGTAACCAGAAAATAAATGTTAAATCTCATAAATGTCAAACTTGGCCTCCCAAATCACTTGTAAATCGAAAAATCATCCAAGATGCAGAAGTCAATATACTGTGCTAAGACCGCCATTTTGGTTGTTTGATTTACCTCCCCTTTACCAGACTAATTCCCGTACCTTCCCGGACTTTTTTATGTATCAACACTAATTCCCGGACTTTTCAAGGCCGGGAGCTCCTGTTTCAAATTCACGGACATTTCCCGTTTTCCCGGACAGCGTGGGAACCCTGTTTGAAAGATTTTGATGACGTGAGCCATAAACTCTTTGAAAGTGCATTAAATTGTGTATTTATAGACTATCTGTCCAGGTGTCAAGTATTGTAACTCACAGCGGCCAACAAACCTTATCTTTTGGATTGGAGCCCAACGGGGGACCGTGACTGTATATAGCTTAAATTAGCATTGCTCTGTAACCCTGAGAAATTTGGGGATGAATTTCAATATAGCGTGGGAGTATGTCACGGTTCAGAACTGTTCATTATTTAGGGGAGAAGATGTGTAAGCTCAGTCTGTAGAGCCAGAGATCCATATTCTGAGGGTCTAGGGTTCAAGTCCCAGTCAGACGGCAACACCCCATTTTTCTCACCCTGTGACAATAGAAAGGGCCTAGGTGTTGTTACTATAGTAAGGGTCTAAGTGTATCCCAAAGTAGAGCCGATTGTCTTACGATTATTTTTGCATTGGGTCGATTTTGTTTTGGGCCGTAACATCTTTTTGGCATACATGTAATTTCGTGGGCCGAGCAGATTCAATTAAAAAACACACCTTTGGTGAGAATCGGTGTCCATAGTATTATATTTCAAAAGGTCATCATCAATGTTATCGTGCAGCCAATCCTTCAGCATTTGTACCCTCGGATAAGATTTGCTGAGGATATTCATCTTCAACTTCCAGCGCGGGAATAATCGAAACACCTCGACCGAAATTTGACGGCCGAGACTTTCGGAGCGCCTGAATGACACTTGTAGTACCGTATGGTACTGGTTACGGGAGTTGACGAAAGTTAACGGAAGGTTCCGGACCAACCGGAACTAGTGTGTTAGGCTGACAGTTAGGCGCCATATTTGTGTGTAATATATAACAAGAAGAATTAGGCAATTCCTAGCTTGGCTACGATCCAGACGTGGAAGGTAAGTCGATTGCTTGTATTGTCAATCCCTTTATAATCAATCGCGACAGTTCTATATTGGTGGCAGCGGTAATTTTTACGAATTCCGTTCCGAAAGATAGACGCTACCAAAGGTCCATATTTTTACCGATTGTGTACGAATTTGCCCTCAAATTCTGCACTCATAGAACGGAGTCTACCTGAATTCTTGGTTTTGTTCATAGTGGGCCAATCTGCTTGAACGATTTAAACCAGAATTTCTACGTAAATAATCGTAGTTAAGCGGGAATTTGCCATCAAATTCCGCTTAGGTTAGACGTGGCCTGGAAGGACCAAATTCTTTGGAATTTGTTTATTTTTCGGATTTCCTTTTCGTTCTGCTGCCACTGGTACAGTAACTGTTATATTTTGATAAACTCCATTTAGCCCTTTTGCCATATAAAGGGGGAGAAGATAGATACTGAGATTTATTTAGTTAAAACACATTTTAACTTGAATATTTCTCGGTATCTTTCGTTGTTATGGAGAACATCAATATAAAGGGAAAGTTCGAGATATTTTCTCAGGAAGCAGAGGTTGTGCAACCACCATTGGTTGCCATTAACTTTGCGTCTGAGGAAAGGCTACAGGCAATACCTAATGTGGGTGCAAGCCTAGCCAAGGCGCTCATTGCGGTGAGGGAGAGCTCTGGTATTATAACCAGGGAGATTTTAGAGGCTGTCTGTCGTCGCAAGTTCTCCCCTGAGATACTTGCTATGATAGACTTTAGACAGAATATGTCTCTGCCAGCTGAGAATACTGACAAGCTAGGCCAATCTAGCTTGGAGGTAGACACAGACGAGGACGAGGAGGAAGATATTCAGCCAAGTGCACATGATTGGTTGGAAATGGTGAAGGTGGTGAAAGCGGCAACCAATGTTCTGGCCGCTCACAAGCAGCAACAACGGTCATCTGTTTGCACCCTTGCAACAGATGACAAGGTTTTTCCACATAAAAATCTGAAGTTGATGACTCCTGCGGATTTTACTGCCAAAAAGTCAAAAATCCACACACCCCCCTACCTTACCACTTCCAGACTATACCACCCCTAAACGTACCATACGTTTTGACCAGGTAGTGGATAGTGATTGCAGTGATGACTCTATGTTTGCCAGGGCACCATCTGCCCATAGGCGTTCTAGGGTTAGTAACTGGATATCTGCCTTTCCCGAACACTTATCATATGATGGTAAGAGTACTTGGGAATCGTTCTTTTTAAAGTTCACTCGCTATGTCCAACAAGGCGAGTGGACTGATGAAGAACAAGTTAGCTGCCTTGTCTGCTGTTTAGATGGTAAAGCGCTCGAGTATTATGCGCTTGTCTGTGAACAAGAAGGTCAGCTTACATACAAGAGGCTGGTTAGCAAGTTGGCTGCCCGATTTGGCCAACATGAGTTACCAGCTGCTGCACAGGTAAGTTTTCAGAATGCAGCACAAGAGACAACCGAGTCCCTAGATGAGTGGGCTGACCGAGTGCTCACTCTAGGTTATAGAGCTTTTAAGAAGCTGCCAGAGGAGTTTGTCACTGTCCAAACAGTGAACAGATTCTGTCAGGGTATGGTTGACAAAGAGGCCGGTCTCCATGTTTGCATGCAGCAACCCGAGTCCGTGCATGCAGCCATACAAATGGTACGCCAGTACCAGCAGGTGTACGCAGCCATGTATGGTGACCGGAAAAAAACGGAAAAGGTTTTTGCTGTTGCCTCCCAGCCATCACGGGAGCAGCAGGCAAAGGATATGTCAACTGATGATTTAAGAGAAGCCTTAAATGACCTGGAGCAAAGACTGACAAAAACCTTTTTGTCAGAATTGTCCCAACCCCGCAGATCAACCGGATGCTACAATTGTGGCGAAATAGGGCATTTCAAAAGAAATTGCCCTAAGCTTAACGACAACCATAAGTCGTTAAACAGGGACGGTGAAAAAGTAGGTCGTTTCCCGTCCCTGTCTGCAGACAAGACCTGCAAAATTAAAAAATCCCGGTTGGCTGCCAATTTCAGCCAAGTAAGCACGGGGGGAGTCGAACCAGACCCTATTGTTGTCTGTCAGGTCAATTCCTCTTCCCAGTTTACCATGGGGGTCCAAGTAGGGGATGTACAAGTAACAGCAGTGGTAGATACTGCTGCCCAGGTGACCATCATTTCTGATAAGGTTTACAATTCCCTGAAGCACAAGCCCCCCAAGATAAGGGATGTCGAGCTGCAAACGGCTGGCAGGGAATTGTCTATGGCAGCCTTTGTAGCCGGTCCGGTTAAGTTGAAGGTTGGTCACCAGTGGTACCAGGTCAACATGTTTGTTGCCCCCATTGAGCAACAAATGCTGTTGGGCTTTGATTTGCTTCGTGATCCTGGCAAATCTGTGCTAGATATGAGCAAAGCAGAGCTGTACTTTGATGGTATGCGCATCTCCCTAGATGTTCATTCATCCGATAGTCCCGTGGTTTCCAAAGTCACGGTGTCTAAGAGACAGGTTATCCCTCCACACTCTGTAGCGAGAGTCCAATGCAGGTTGCACTCTCCCCTGCATAGCTATATCGTGGAACCAGTGAACCAGAAGAAATTTCTGGTTCCCCGAGTGTTACATGAAGGCACTAACACCCCTGTGTTGTGTCTTGTTAATCCATCAGATAGCTACCGCCTTGTCAGGAGGGGAACAGAGATAGGGAGGGCATTTGCCATCAGTGAAGTTGTCAGGAATGAGTGTGATGTTGAAACATCTTTGCCCAGCAAAGTGTTTGAAACATCAGGTGCGGTTGGTCCAATACCACCACACCTGCAGGAGGTCTATGACACCTCTTGTGGCAGCCTTGATGAAGGTCAACGGATTCAATTAGCGCAATTGCTGATTGAGTTCCAAGATGTCTTCATCAATGGTGAACCTGACCTTGGTGACTTCACTGATAAGGAACGTGATATAGATACCAAGGAGGCAAAGCTTGTGAAGCAAGGTATGAGGCGAAAGCCAACATGCTTTGCAGGGGAAGAAGAGGCCCAGCCTCAGGGAATGCCGAAGGCTGGGGGTGTACAAGATGCCACATCCAAATGGGCATCTGCTCCAGTTTTGATAAGGAAACATGACGGCTCTGTGCGTTATTGCATAGACTATAGGATGTTGAATAAGGTTACAGTCAAAGACGTGTATCCTTTGCCTTTAGTCGATGATTGCATGGACACATTTGCTGGCAGTGTTTGGTTTTCAAAAATTGGATGCCAACTCCGCATTCTTCCAGTTGAACATCAGAGAAGGCTTTGGTTTGTGTGGTGCCCCAGCCACATTTGCCAGAGCAATGGACTTAGTCCTGAGAGGTTTGACATGGAAGACAGTCCTGGCATTTCTCGATGATATCATCGTGCTTGGACGCAATTTTGAGGACCATCTCTCAAACTTGCGGGAGGCTCTTTCGAGATTTCGGAGGCATAAGCTAAAGCTTAAGCCGAAGGAATGTATCTTCTTCCAACAAGAAGTAGAGTTTTTAGGCCGTAAAGTCGGCAAAGACAGCATTGCTATGACAGAACATGACATAGCAGTGGTGAAGGATTGGCCTGTTCCAAACAGTGCCAAGCAGGTAGAAAGGTTTATGGGGTTGGTAAACTATCATAGAGTGTTTGTTAAGGACTTCTCTAGGGTAGCAGCCCCATTGTACGCCGTCACAGGCAAAGCCAACTTTGTCTGGGGCGAAGAACAAGCAGAGTCATTCAGGACTTTAAAGTGCTTGTTGACGCAACCTCCGGTGTTAGCGTTGCCAAATCAACATGACGAATTTATCTTGGAGACGGTTGCTTCCAATGATTCGATTGGAGCAGAGCTCTTGCAGGTGCAAGAGGGCCAAGAGAAAGTTGTTGCATTTGGTAGCTGTGCTCTTACCAAGGAGCAACAGGGTTATTGTATGACCAGTAAAGAGCTGCTAGCAGTAGTTCGGTTCACCAAACAGTTCCGACACTACTTGCTAGGAAGGCCATTTGTGGTCAGGACTGACCATTCAAGTCTAAGGTGGTTGATGAATTTCAGGGAGCCACAAGGGCAGCTGGGGAGATGGCTGGAAGAGCTGTCCCAGTTTAACATGGTGTTGAGACATCGTGTGAGTCGCGAGCATTCCAATGCTGACGCAATGTCAAAAATACCACTGCAAAGTGGGACATGCCGAGGTGGAATTGCTGGTGCGCGGCTGGATCAGTTGCCTTGTGGTGGCTGTGAAGATTGTAAAAAGGCCCATACCAATTGGGTCAAGTTCTTCACAGATGTAGATGAGGTGGTACCGTTGGTAACCAAACCAGTGGAGTCTTCTGATTCCGGTTTAGGTGGCCAGCAGGATACCAGGGTTTCTGTCATCTACGGGATTGATTTTCATGAAAACCAACCAGATGCTGATGGCCAGCCGGTCCTTGCCAATGAGGTCGGTGAGCATGGTCAACAGTCCCTCTCTGAAGGCCAAATCTTCAGTGGAGGGGAAGAGAAGGTAAGTATAGGTTGCGTTAGAGACCGAGCATCTGATATCAGGGCCATTCCTGATAATGTAGATGTTCCGTTGCTGGCACAGATTTTAGAGGATATTCCCTGTGGCCAGCAAGGATCTCGGTGCCCAGTGCCGGGATGTTTTGAGGATCTTACCCAGAGACATGCTATGGAGGCCCACCTCCCTGGCATATTCCAAATGTGTTTGACAGGTGAAAGCATTACGAACAGAAGGATTGGTGCTTTGAAGCTGGTGATCAGGTGGTTATTGGGGTCTAATAGCACTTTGTTTGACCTGGTAGCTTACCTGGAGTGTGCTGGTGTTCCGGTTTCTCAGGAAACTTGCACCAGTAATCACAGGAAAGCAGCGAAGGAGTTCTGTGAGGTTCTTAGGGTACCCTTGCCCAAAGATCTCACCCCAAAGGTAAAAGGTAATGCTGTGACAGTTTTGTTGCAGTGGCGCTGTCTACTGTCATTGATATCCATGCTGGAAAGACACCAGGAAGACAATCTGAAAGCCATGTTCAGCTTGTCAGCTGAGGAGTCCCAACTCCTTAGCTTTCCTAAAGTGTCTGACAGCCATTGAGTGTCTGGGTTTGAGGCTTGGCTGAAATTGGTACGGTTCAGTCAAGTAGGCCATGTTGTCCAGCCCTCTGGCATCATGGTCAAGTACCAGTACCGGTATGAACCGGGAAGCTCTAGTCTGCCCTTGGACTAGAGAGGCGTCAGTGCTTGGTTAACTTCCTGGAGCCACAGACCCCTCCTAAAGAATAGGACGGGGAGGAGTGTAGTACCGTATGGTACTGGTTACGGGAGTTGACGAAAGTTAACGGAAGGTTCCGGACCAACCGGAACTAGTGTGTTAGGCTGACAGTTAGGCGCCATATTTGTGTGTAATATATAACAAGAAGAATTAGGCAATTCCTAGCTTGGCTACGATCCAGACGTGGAAGGTAAGTCGATTGCTTGTATTGTCAATCCCTTTATAATCAATCGCGACAGTTCTATACACTGATCTATCACAAGTGAGCTGTCAATTTTCATTTAGATAAAAGATGAGCTTTAATTATAATCCTCTACTGGAATTAAACCGGATATTGCCCGATACAAAAGTGAAGCACACTGTCATGTGAGTAGTTGAGGTACAAAATTAGTATTTTTCACATAAATGCTTCGTTTTTACCTCCGTTGATCATTGGTATCCGATCACGCAGACGCATTTAGGATTGATAAATTCTTAATCGCATTTAGATTTAGTGTTATTAATTCCACAGTTTGTTACCTTGGTTCATGACAAATTTTGAATTAACTAAAAAAATTATTTAAATGTTAAATTATGCCACAGGAAAATCTTGTCAAAAGTGTTAAATTGTTGTACCAGTTTCAGTCACAGGTTTCAGGTCATTTTGGCCTCAACTGGTCTATAGGACATTTTTGCCCTGGCCAAAATACGGGTGGGGGGAAATCCCGGGATCGCCTATAGAAAAGCCGGGACTAGGGATCGTATTAAACATATAGTAATCCCGAAATTGACCACCTAAATGTACTCTCGGTGTATTATTATTATTATCATCATCATTTGAATGTTTTTGTAGAGATTTCTGAACAAGTTTGATTTGTAGTAGTTATAAAAATCTTTAAAAATAATGTATTTTTTCATGATTTTTGGGATCGTATTAAAAAATTAGGGATCTCAGAAATTCAGATAAGCCGGGATCGTATTAAAACATATAGGGATCCAGGGAATTGACAATTCAAGAATATAGTTTTCAGAAAAGCCGGGATCGTATTAAAACATACTGGTTGGGGAGATAACTTCTGCTGGTTGATAAACTCGGCTTTTTATAATTTAATCGACTTATCGGCTTTTTTAATGTAATCAAGCTCACCATCTTGTACAAACGCTGGAATTCGACAATATCTGGAAATTTTGTCGAGTTTGGTAAGATATTTAAAAAATAGCACAAACTTTAACCCGTTTGTTTAAAAAAAATGCCTATAAGTAGTACGGGAAATCAGATTGCTGTATGCATGCGCAGTAGATGCTCATTTTGAGGCCCGTACAGAGATACTTTTATATATTGACCGACAACTGGTAAAGCAGACGATGTTCACGGATACATTTTGTAGATGAATTTAGACTCAATTTTGTCTTGCAAACTCAGAAAAACTCCGATTGCACAAATTATAGATCACAAATGTAATCTTTTAGTGCAATGGATTGAAAAACTGATGTTAAAATTAATGCTCTAAATGTTATTGTGTAGGTTGAATACCACTAAATTAATTTCTTCTTCGCTCTGTTAAATTATGAAGTTACCCAAGCCAAAATACATTTGAATCACTAATTCTAAAACTACATATTTCGTATGTTAATAAATGAAAATGCATGTCTTTTTCCAAAAAAAGTATCTGAGTTTTTTGTTGTTTTTTTTTTACATAACATTGTATAAAAGTAACAGTCCTTATTGAAAATTTCTGATAAAAAATATTTTTTTTATTTGACATATATGAATAACAAAGGAATAATAAAATGTCTAAACATGTTATTCTACTTTTTAGCTCACCTGTCACAAAGTGACAGGGTGAGCTTTTGTGATCGCTTTTAGTCCGGCGTCCGTCCGGCGTCCAGCCGTCCGTCCGTAAACTTTTACTTTAAATGACATCTCCTCATAAACCACTAAGCCAATTTCATCCAAACTTCACAGGAATGTTCCTTTGGTGGTCACCTTTAAAAATTGTTCAAAGAATTTAATTCCATGCAGAACTCTGGTTGCCATGGCAACCGAAAGAAAAAACTTTAAATATCTTCTTTTAAAAAACCATAAGAGCTAGAGCTTAGATATTTGGCATGAAACATCTTCTAGTGAGTGTCTACCAAGTTTGTTCAAATAAAAGCCCTGGGGTCAAAATTGGTCCCGCCCCGGGGGGTCATTGATTTTCCCTATATACATATAGTAAAAACTTAAAAAATCTTCTTTTAAAGAACCAAAAGAGCTACAGCTAAGATATTTAGCATGAAACATTTTCTAAAGGGTGTCTACCAAGTTTGTTCAAATAAAAGCCCTGGGGTCAAAATTGGCCCCGCCCCGGGGGGTCATTGATTTTCCCTATATGCATATAGAAAAAACTTAAAAAATCTTCTTTTAAAGAACTCAAAGAGCTATGGCTAAGATATATAGCATCAAACATGTTCTAATAGGTGTCTACCAAGTTTGTTCAAATAAAAGCCCTGGGGTCAAAATTGGCCCCGCCCCAGGGGGGTCATTGATTTTCCCTATATGCAAATAGTAAAAACTTAAAAAATCTTCTTTTAAAGAACCAAAAGAGTTAAAGCTAAGATATTTAGCATGAAACATGTTCTAATAAGTGTCTACCAAGTTTGTTCAAATAAAAGCCCTGGGGTCAAAATTGGCCCCGCCCCGGGGGGGTCATTGATTTTCCCTATATGCATATACTAAAAACTTAAAAAATCTTCTTTTAAAGAACCAAAAGAGCTAGAGCTTAGATTTTTAGCATGAAACATGTTCTAATAGGTGTCTACCAAGTTTGTTCAAATAAAAGCCCTGGGGTCAAAATTGGCCCCGCCCCAGGGGGGTCATTGATTTTCCCTATATGCATATAGTAAAAACTTAAGAAATCTTCTTTTAAAGAACCAAAAGAGCTAGAGCTAAGATATTTAGCATGAAACATGTTCTAATGGGTGTCTACCAAGTTTGTTCAAATAAAAGCCCTGGGGTCAAAATTGGCCCCACCCCAGGGGGTCATTGATTTTCCCTATATGCATATAGTAAAAACTTAAAAAATCTTCTTTTAAAGAACCAAAAGAGTTAAAGCTAAGATATGTAGCATGAAACATGTTCTAATAAGTGTCTACCAAGTTTGTTCAAATAAAAGCCCTGGGGTCAAAATTGGCACCGCCCCGGGGGATCATTGATTTTCCATATATGCATATAGTAAAAACTTAAAAAGTCTTCTTTTAAAGAACTCAAAGAGCTATGGCTAAGATATTTAGCATCAAACATGTTCTAATAGGTGTCTACCAAGTTTGTTCTAATAAAAGCCCTGGGGTCAAAATTGGCACCGCCCCGGGGGTCATTGATTTTCCTTAGATGTGTATAGCAAAAACTTAAAAATCTTCTTTGAAAAAACCCAAATAGCTAGAGTTTAGATATTAAGCATGAAACATCTTTTAGTAAGTGTCTACAAAGTTTGTTCAAATAAAAGCCCTGGGGTCAAAACTGGCCCGGCCCCAGGGGTGTCATTGTTTTTAACTATATGTGTATAGTAAAAACTTTAAAAAAATCTTCTTTCAATAAAGCCCAATGAGCTAGAGCTTAGATGTTTAGCATGAAACATCTTCTTATGGGTGTCTACCGAGTTTGTGCAAATAAAAGCCCTTGGGTTAAATTGGCCCTGCAAGGTTGGGGGGGGGGGGGGGGTTGGGGGGCCTATATACAGGTGAGCGACCTCAGGGCCATCATGGCCCTCTTGTTAATTTACTCATTAAAAATGATTTAAGAAGAAAAACAAAGAGCCGAAATTATCTACTCGCGCGTGTTAAAAATGTGTTTTTTACGTACCTCTTTCAGGGCCTCTCAAAATTACCCGTCTTGTTTCTAAATATAACTTTTATGGTGATACCAGAATATCAAAGAGCTGAAGTTTATTATTGTGCAAGATTCATCAGGTCATTTTGGCCTCAACTGGTCTATAGGACATTTTTGCCCTGGCCCAATACGGGGTGGGGGGAAATCCCGGGATCGCCTATAGAAAAGCCGGGACCCGGGATCGTATTAAACATATAGTAATCCCGGGAATTGACCACCTACTCTCGGTGTATTATTATAATTATTGTTATCATCATCATTTGAATTTTTTGTAGAGATTTCTGAATAAGTTTGATTTGTATAGAAGTTATAAAAATCTTTAAAAATAATGTTTTTTTCACGATTTTCGGGATCGTATTAAAAATATAGGGATCCCGGAAATTCAGATAAGCCGGGATCGTATTAAAACATATAGGGATCCCAGGAATTGACAATTCAAGAATATAGTTTTCAGAAAAGCCGGGATCGTATTAAAACATACTGGTTGGGGAGATAACTTCTGCTGGTTGATAAACTTGGCTTTTTATAATTTAATCGACTTATCGGCTTTTTTAATGTAATCAAGCTCACCATCTTGTACGAACGCTGGAATTCGACAATATCTGGAAATTTTGTCGAGTTTGGTAAGATATTTAAAAAATAGCACAAACTTTAACCCGTTTGTTTAAAAAAAATGCCTATAAATAGTACGGGAAATCAGATTGCTGTATGCATGCGCAGTAGATGCTCATTTTGAGGCCCGTACAGAGATACTTTTATATATTGACCGACAACTGGTAAAGCAGACGATGTTCACGGATACATTTTGTAGATGAATTTAGACTCAATTTTGTCTTGCAAACTCAGAAAAACTCCGATTGCACAAATAATCACAAATGTAATCTTTTAGTGCAATGGATTGAAAAACTGATGTTAAAATTAATGCTCTAAATGTTATTGTGTAGGTTGAATACCACTAAATTAATTTCTTCTTCGCTCTGTTAAATTATGAAGTTACCCAAGCCAAAATACATTTGAATCACTAATTCTAAAACTACATATTTCGTATGTTAATAAATGAAAATGCATGTCTTTTTCCAAAAAAAGTATCTGAGTTTTTTGTTGTTTTTTTTTTTACATAACATTGTATAAAAGTAACAGTCCTTATTGAAAATTTCTGATAAAAAATATTTTTTTATTTGACATATATGAATAACAAAGGAATAATAAAATGTCTAAACATGTTATTCTACTTTTTAATTTACTCATTAAAAATGATTTAAGAAGAAAAACAAAGAGCCGAAATTATCTACTCGCGCGTGTTAAAAATGTGCTTTTTACGTACCTCTTTCAGGGCCTCTCAAAATTACCCGTCTTGTTTCTAAATATAACTTTTATGGTGATACCAGAATATCAAAGAGCTGAAGTTTATTATTGTGCAAGATTCATCAGAATACGTAAACAAATAAATGAAATATGCCCCAAAAACACCGATTTTCGGCCGAGTTTATCTCCCAAACCAGTATAGGATCCCGGGATT